CATCCTCTTGCTACCAGTGTAACAGTCCAACGAACTTCAGTAGTCATTCTTGGAATAAGCAATGATCCTTGCCATAATGCATTCTTATATACATGAACAAGCAATGATGGACATAACACCTAACAGCAGCAGCGTGATAATAGCAGGTGATAAGTGTATCCTATTCCTAGTGTTAGTAGTAACAGTGAATCTGTTACAGTCTGCCTGATTGTAGCGCCAGACAGTCCTGGAGGTAGCTTGCTTAGCATAAGGGGTGAGATAAAAGTCGGCAAGAACAACCCCATGGTCAGAGCGACCAAGTGGCGCTTTGACAGTGGTGTCGATAGAAACGGGTATGTTGGAGAGGATGAGGTCCAGGGTGTTCAGACCCCTAGTCGGCTGCAAGACATGCTGGTGGAGTTGATGATCAGAACACAATTCTTCCAAGGCCTCTCCAGCTAAGCCTGGGCGGATAATGCTACCATTATATGTAGCATTATAGTGTGCGATTTGCAACGAGCATTGTGCTAGCATTATAACACTACATTTCCGCAAAAGTGGCATTATACTAAAAAAAATGGCTCTTATTTCTGCGAAAACCAGACTTAGGGTGAAAATCATTTTTGGAGAAAAATGATGTTTTGTAAAAAAAGGTTGTGTCGTGTGGACGCTCGAGTGCAGTGAAGTGGAACCAAAGTCAAGAGAATCTCGCTTGTTTGAAGAAGTAGCAGTCATGGCAGGAAGGTTTTCAGCAGTCAGGGAAGTCAAAGGGCTTCCGGTAGAATATTCCCTGCTACTCCTCTAGTCACAACGAAGAGTTTTTGAGCTGATCGAACGGATTCCATCTCCTACACTCAGGGTTGGCGAAATTTCTGCGCTAGCTGCTGCCTGCGGAAAATGGTGAAAAAATTGTCTCCAGTGAGAGTCGTGATGGCGATAGCGAGGAGAACCTGGACGACATCGATCCAGCCAATCGAATTACGAAGATACTAGCTGTTTCTGGGCCTCACGCAAAGGGAACACGCGCAGCAGAGCTCATACGTTTGCAGCAAGTTCACCAGGAAAAAGGCTTGAAGCGCAGTGTGAAAACTGTTTTGAATTGAAGTCCTTGGCGATGAAGTCCTACTGAATGCCAGGCGAATGAGCGCGCAGATCAAGAGGCCTCCATAGTCTTTCCTCGCTGGACAGCTAGCTGCAAGGGATTGTATGGAGCAATAGCAGCATAAAATTAGCATCATGATCATGATTTTCTAGCATTTTCCATACCGTCTACATAGAACCACGAAGCATGCACAATACTGCCCAAACCAAGCCATTTTCCATACTTACTACTGGTGAATTGCTGGCATTACAGAGGAACAGCAGCATTGCAAGTAGCATTATGATACAGTTTTTCTGGCATTGCCATTAGCATTATACCGCAAAATAACTAACATTATCCGCCCAGGCCTACCTCCAGCTACAGTTGTTTTGCTGCTGCAGAGCCAAGTCTCATGATGGACATTAAAGGGAAACTGAACGCCAAAAATAAGTATGGCTTATCCGAAGGAGAATTGGGCACTGATGAGCTATGTCTCGAGCCGATCACCAGCTCCAACACCAGCTGCCTGCATCTGCCCCGCTGGCACTGAAGCGCTCGTTCCCACACTGCAGCATCAGCGATTGGAACTCCCTCCCTGCCGCTCTCCTATCCCAGCCTCCCCACAGCAAGAGAATGCAATCATTCAAAACGAATGTTTACCGCCATCTTCGCAGCACAAACTGGCTCTGGGCAGTCGATTCCCTATGAATAGTATGATGCTAAGACAGTTTCTCCCCCCCCCCCCCCCCCCAATCGCTCGTGTTAAGCCTTGGGTTTTTGCATCTTTCTCACCTGTACAGCTCTATCTTCTTCTTTTTTCATTGTTTTTGGTGCGTGTTTTTGGCCGTGACGCCGAGACCTCAGGTCGGCAGAGTCATCAATGCCCCACCATCACTGCTGCGTCTCGGTGTAGCGCCTGCTCATTATAGTTGTCACGTTTGTCCTAGTCTCCGTACCATTGTCTTTCCTTATTCTTTTCGAGCTGGTTATGTGAACGTAGTAAAAAAAAAAAAAAAAAAAAATCCCGGGGCGGACGAGATGGTGATGGGTAGTCCGCAAAACTCCGCGGACATGACTGTACACTATGCTTGTTACGAAGTCATGACGTCTGGATCTTAGCAGCTATGACTGTGCAGGCTATGGGTATTGCTCTAATAATTAAACAAATTGAGGTATAGTTAATTTTCTGTAATCATCGGATTGAAGGAGAGCTGGAGCTACGGGAGAAATGAGCTGATTAAGAGAATTCGCAGCCAATTTGTGACATTAGACTGTAGTACTAGACTGTTTTCACAGCCATTTTTGCTCTCTCGACTGTTTTCACAGCCATTTTTGCTCGTTTTTCTTCCGGTGCTGTTGAGGTTGCACTCGTAATAATTATTATTGTGTTTATTTTGCCCATACAAGAGGCTTGGTTGCGTTGAAAATTTTTTTATGAGAATTCGCAGGGTTAGGGTGACATCGGTTGGACGAGTATGACGATTACGAAGACAGTTGAACATGACAGTTTTCAGGTAAGGAAAAAATCTTTCAAAGCAAAAGAAGTCAACTAATGAATAGAAGAAGTAATTTTTTCTCTTTTCCAGGTTGATCTCTAGTATGCATGGACACCTTGGTATGGGGATACTCATGTATTTTGTTGTACTTATGGCCACTTGCAAGTACGAAAAAGGCACAATTTTCCGAACTTTGAGGCTCCATAAGCACGACAAAGTGAATATGTATCCCCGCGTGCCAAAGCATAATAATTATGAGGATTTTGCGAGCATAATGCGAGAATCCATGAAAGCATAATTCCATGATATCGCGGCATAATCCGCCAGTGGCCCGGTGCCTACCTGGCATGGGGGAAACATGGATGGAGTGAATGGGATTCCGGTCTTTGACCACTTTGTGGTGGGTCTGATCTACTCACCTGAGCTCCCACCACTTAGGAGCTGCATCTGCGCCTTGATCCTAGAGGGTGGCGGCGTTCCTATGGATGCAGAAAACTCGGCTTTCAGCCGAGTCTCCTGCAAACCGTGAATTGTTTTAAGCAGGCAAATATTCCTGCCTCATGATTTCACTCCTTGAGTTATGGCTACATTGACTGCTTATATTTGACTCCTTTTTAGGGATTGAACACCTGGTTTGGCTAGTCGTGATAAATCTAATATTGACTTCGTACTTGGTCAATATAGAAAATATAATCTCGTAAAAGACCTCGGCTTCACCTCGGTCTTTTTACTAGTGACCTTTATTTCTTATTATTGACTCAGTCAATATTAGATAATTACTACAAGTAGGCATTTGCGGATAATAAAAGTAAAAGTAAAAAAGTAAATTATCGTGTCCGTTCCCGAAGGGAACTCACGACGGCCGCTAACACCCGGTAAACCCCGGTAAACCCTAGCGGCAGATGCAGCGCCTAACGGTGGGGGTGAGTGGGTAAGTCTCACAACCACTGGCACAAGTGCCAAGAACGACCCCATTAGCTGCATCCATGTACCCCTTGTGCCTGGCCACAAGTTCCCAGTTGACTGTGGGTAGCAGCACGGCTGGAAAAATACCAGCAGAAAAATTGGCAGAATTCGGTACTTTTTCTGGTAAGTTTCATGCATGTTTGATATTATGGATAAAGAAATGGAGCAGAATTCGAGGAATTGCCCGCCATAAGGTTTGTATGGTTCTGCCAATTTCACAGCTTTTCGAGCAGAATCTGCCACCTTTTCGAGCATTATCCGCCAATGCCTAACTACAAGATCATGGCTGTACATCATCAATTTTGTACAACCATTTAATACATGATTGTACTGATGTAGATCTACTACAGTACATGTAGACTCTACATAGCCAGGCACTACAACGTTTGTACATGATTGTACTAGTCTTGGAGTACGGGTTTACTCACAAGCCAGGCACTACTGTCGCGGACATGGAAATCCAGTCGCTTGACCGGGGCCGGCGCCCTCAGCGCGTAGATCTACAGAACGTAAGTCGTTGCATGCAGTGCACAATCATGTTGATCCTGGACCAGCAGCTAGCAGCGCATACATGCTACGGCTGCATGGCCAGCGCCCTGTGGCCGCTAGACGTGCGACCGGATTTCCATGTCTACGACAGTAGTAGTACTGCTACATGTACGTACTACTGTTAGATTGACAGGCTGACAGCATGAAACCATGTACGTACTAGTAGCATTGTTACTATATGAGCAGACCAGCGATAGACCAGACTTCGCCACGTGTGCGGTCTTGCAAAGACAGTAAGATCGCCTGTCTAGTAAAAATGCCCTTGCAGCTATTAATAGTATAAGGCCAAACTAAAGAAGGTGTGTGGTTCGACTCACCCGACCGACCGTACAATTTCAGCCCGACCGTAACTTTTTTTCGGCGGGCTGTCGTGTGACTGACGTAGATCTACGTGGACTGAACACGTCCACGTCTACGTGCTGTGCGGCGTGAGTCTGCGGACGCAGGCGGCTCCTTTTGGACTTGACTTGTAGTTGTACTGCAGTGCAGTGCAGTGAGTGGTACGACTGCTGCCTTGTGCTGGTAGTAGTAGAGTCTACTCGATACGCGTATACAGTGTATTTACATGTACTAAAAAATATATTAAAAAAAAAAAAATCCGCCCGCCCGCCCGTAAAAAAAATGTCCATGTTAGTCGAACCACACACCTTCTTTAGTTTGGCCTAATGCCTAATTTTATTTTATGGATACGCGCGACATTGACAGGTGGAAGCTAAGAGACTGACACATATTATGTGAGTGTCACGAGGAACAGTGAAAAGTACGTTGCCGTGTGAGGTGCGGTTGTGAGAACAACTGAGTCAGAGCATCTTGCCGCACGCTGACTGCTGGGATCGCACACGTACACAAACACACGCTGCATGCATGAAACAAGCAGTCCAGCGCTACGCAGCACGAGCCAACATTTCGTGGCTGACAAATCAAATATTGCGAGTTTTTGCTCGCTCTCTGAGTCCGAGCTAAATGACTTCCATCGTGCCTTCGTTACAACGACAACTCGTCGCTGAGGATGCGGTACTCCCTCAAATAGGATTACGATTTACTTGACTTTCGGACGCCACCCTGTGTGCTGTTGATGGGTTTTCAGCTTTGTGGCTGCAGTCACGGCCTAACTGTTCTTCGTACAATTTGGGGATTCCAGACAAACAGTTGACGGCGCTTTGCAAACTGCCCTCAGGTAAGGCCACGCAGTGTCGCAGGGTTTGTGTGATGACTTCTAACGACCCAGTCTCTTTCCGTGGTTGGGTCACCCTCACAGTCACATCCGTGTATTGGCTGTACTCTTAGGCTGTGTTCACATGAGAATTTTCAACCCGGGTCGAGTTCAGCCGGGGTTCTGCGGGTTGAAAGTCTGTACGATAGTCCTGTATGGTCACGTGAATACTTTCGCGCAAAATTTGCATGTGCAGTGCTATTCAAACCTGGCGCGAGATACGCACAGACGTACGTTAGTACAATTTCTCGCCCCGGGTTGATTTCAACCCTCCCCCAATCTCGCCCCGGGTTGATTTCAACCCTCCCCTTGGGGGCGATATTTCAACCCGGGTCAAGCGCAATGCGTCATGTAAACGCGCCATTCATTTTGTGTACATGGTGGGTTGAAATCTGACAACCTACGTCTCAACACATCACCAAATTTGTCTAATACCGTACTGCGCAGGTCTCGGAGCCATAGTGCTGCTGGTACACACATGGACGAGAATGCAGCAATGGAAGACAAGACACTAAACGAAATGCTTGCGGGTATAAAGCTGCGGTGTACCAATATGTGCATGATGTGGACAATTTTGCACAGGCATTATTACCCAATGTCATCCGGTTCAGACAGATTTTTTCTATGATGATCCTGTGTGATCAGGCTACTTTTTTAAAGCAGCCTTGTTTGGCGACTCCTCCACCAGAAAACGCATGAGGGAGCTACTATGTGGATCATTTTCTACTATCATGATTTGTTTGAGTTTCTTGTCAAAGAGACAAATTTCTATACCATACAGTATCTGGCAATGCATGATTTCAGTCCGATGGAATCCAGTGACAATTACATCATGCAGATGATGGTGTTCATCAGTCTCCAGTTACTGAGTAGCTAGCTGGCTTTGAGAACCACATGCAGCTTTCTCAGGTCAACTGACCCAGCCATATACTTTCCCTGTATGCTAGTCTTGTCCAAACAAATGCAGTTTGCAAATTGCTTGCGTATCATGCATGCGCATTTCAGAGTATTACACTGATGCTGAACCAAGCATGTACTTTGCTAATACATTTTTTACAACGTTTTCTTTCTGTTTACATAGCACAGGGTCGCGAGTACGAATATACACAGCTTCCAGCTTCCAGGAAGCTTCCAGCTTCCAGCTTCCTGGTTTAGTGTTATTCGTTGCGCACGTTTCTTCAAGCAATTGCAGGTGTTGGAAGCTGTGTATATTCGTACTCGTGACCCTGTGCTATGTAAACGGAAAGAAAACGTTGTATCACTTACACTCTTCAAGTAATACACACGCACCATTACATTCATTCACACAGTATCACATTCATCTGTATTCACACATTGCAAAGGTGCAAACTTCGCTTTTTGTACTTGCTGGCTGCTGTATTTCTACCTGAAACCATTTTAGCTACATGTATATAAGTGTGTGTTTTATTTATTACATTTTTATGTGACGCCGTTCCACTGATGAAAGTCACAAGAAAACGTTATGGAACTTAACTTTCTTCATTTTTGCTGTTGTTATGAGTGCACAATTTATCTTAACGTTATTTATTGCCATAAAAAATTCTAGTATATTATTAGTATCGTTCTTCCTAATGGCTAATGTTGGTTTGAGAGGAGGTCAAATGACACGAGTCACACGACCTCAACGCACTAGTAGTACAAGTACTAAAGTAGAGAGCTCGGGCGGTCATGCTTGCAGCAACATCATTCGTTCGTAAACGCACTTTGCAACAACGTTTGGTAGATTTTTATCGATTCTCATTGGAACCCTCCAAAATCGGCGAAAAGGTTAGCGATTTTTCGATAATCTCGTTTTAGGCGAATTTTTGGTCGGCCGATTTGGGGAAAGCCTACTTACAGCAGCATGAACAACATAAAATGTGCGCTCATGCAAAGAGCATTTTCTAGTCAAATGTATCAACGGGATTTTCTAATGGAAATATAAGGTGAAACAACAATAGGATTGACACTCTAGAGTCAAGAAAGAATACAAAAGCGAAAAATTCAAGTGAAGATAACGCAATGCTACACCCGGTTGCTAGAAAGATAGCCAGGTGAGAGTAATTTCAAAATTGGACTTGACGGAGAATTAGGAAATTAGACGCCACATGCCTCGTACTGCAGTTAAGTCCAAATTTGAAATTGCAATCTGTGTTTACTCACAATGGACATAGTTTGATGCCCTCCAATGATATCAAGCGAATGGCCGAGGGCCCTCTTGAGTGGTGTGAGTTGCTAGTATGATCCAAGCCAGATATTGGTGGATCGAAGAAGGATTTGCCATCACTGTGGATAAAAGGCACACTGTAGGTCAGATGGTTAGAGCATTGCTCGCGAATAGCAAGGTGAGAGTAAGATAATATTATGGGATTCAGCAAGCATAGCAAGTTACAATGTGAGGTGTAATGTGAAACTGCATTTTGTAAATTGGCAAGCCTGTACATCTGTTATAGTTATCTGGACTTTCTTCACCTGCTCCCAGCCCAGCCCTGTGCCATCTCCACACTTATATAACTAAGGTGACGAGATAACTGCGTTTAGAAGAAGATTCAATGCAAGACGACTACTTACAAGATACGGACACACAACTAGACATGACAAACTCATGACAAAGACTGCTTTTCACACCACAGCAACACGCGCATACACCGACACCACGTACACAAAATAACCATTACTACAACACATCTATCTAAAATAAGTACTTAAATGCAATATTTCCGAATGATGTGCTACTTTCGGACTTGTATTCTCTTTTCAATATGTCTATTATCTAGATTCTACTTTGTTTCACCATTGCCTTCAATCACAAGATTCCATTGGTAAGTGACAGGAAAACGTTCTGAAATCAACCTTTGTTCTGATGATTCACTGTCTGCACTTCGTGGCACATAATGAAAAATGCAAATACAAGGAAGTAGTAGTAGTAGTTTGCTAATAATATTGGATTTTCCTGTTCATTTGATTTGATTTTTCCTATTTGCTTGACTGTGTTGAGTCCGAAGAAGGACGACTGACGACATCTTCTCCAGACATTACAACGGACAACGGGAACAAGTTATTGGGAACGACATTTATTATAGACGACGAGACAAGAGACCAAGACGAACGAACGACTACGTTGAAGAGTGAGATTATTGTAGAGAGCGAGATTATTGGAGAGAGCAAGATTATTGAAGAGAGCGAGATCGACTGAGAAACAACGCAATATAAAGGGCCTGGGTAGCTATGGCAAACATGGACGCGCAAGTAGCTACCCAGGCCAACGGAACGAAAGGTGAGTATGACGTAGTACGGGTGCATGCAGGCCGGCCAGCTTAGGAAAGAGTGTAGGTAAGATTGTACGGAAGGAGGCACCTAACATACCTCCCCTGAGCAAAAAAAGAACCACGACTTCGCGGAAAATAATAAGACGAAGAGAAAAATGGAGATAAAAAATGACTGAGGAAAAACACACACACACACTGCACGCGTGCACGGATCTCACAAAAGTGTTTACTATCATGCATTACAGTTCCTGTACTTCTCTAAGTCTAAAGGTATACTTGTACGCATAACCCAACAAGAAACTAGACGTGACGAGGAACCTACCGATACTGCTTGCATGGCTAAAAATAGCGTAGTTGCACTTCTGCTAAACATTAAAAATTAGAGTGTGGCTCGTCATGATCAGACCTCCAATTTACTAATATTTTATGAGGAACACACGCGAGCACACACACTACAAAAAACACAAAATAAAATAAACCGAAAATAAATTTGACGACGAAGGACGGATGAAAAAGAAAGAGAGAAATAAAGAAAGTAACTGACCTGCATGACTTGGACGAGACGAGGTTGACATAGAAGAGATGAGGTTGGAGATGAGACGAGGTTGGCGACGAGACGAGATTGACATGACGAGACGAATGCCGGGCGGTAGAAGACAACTGGGCATGGGTTGATCTCAGGGTCGTGGGTCGATCAATAGTCGGGCGCCAATGTTGAGTCCGAAGAAGGACGACTGACGACATCTTCTCCAGACATTACAACGGACAACGGGAACAAGTTATTGGGAACGACAATTATTATAGACTGCGAGACAAGAGACCAAGACGAACGAATGATTACGTTGAAGAGTGAGATTATTGAAGAGAGCGAGATTATTGGAGAGAGCAAGATTATTGAAGAGAGCGAGATCGACTGAGAAACAACGCAATATAAAGGGCCTGGGTAGCTATGGCAAACATGGACGCGCAAGTAGCTACCCAGGCCAACGGAACGAAAGGTGAGTATGACGTAGTACGGGTGCATGCAGGCCGGCCAGCTTATGAAAGGTTGTAGGTAAGATTGTACGGGAGGAGGCACCTAACAACTGGATTTGTCACCATTGCCTTCTTTGCTTTCGCTTTTCGAATTCTTCATTCCGACACCCAGTTTGTTTTCAAACTAAGGCAAAATTCTCATGAAATAGTAGAAGTAGTAGAATATATTGCTTCAAGTATTTTGATAGGGAAGGCTCTACAGACGTTGCCGTCTTGTTACAGGGAACACTTAGTGCTCTTTACAGAGCAAAACAAAAGCGGATAGATGCTCAACTTGACGACACAAGACAGGCAGATTATTCCACCTATCAGCGCGAAGTAAGGGTGAAACCAACCACAGATCGAGACTAAAGATGCAAATTAAAGAGAGAAGAAGTAAAAGAAGGAAAAAGAAGAAAGAATCATTCTCTCAAACTTGTGAAAAAGAAGGAAGAAATTATATTTAGAGCATTACTTTCGAAGAGCATTCTTGAAAGCGGAAAGTATCTCAGCACAACGAATACTATAGGTAAGGGAGTGCCAAAAGCGATAATTATGACATAAACAATGGTGAGTTAAGAACTAAAGAAAAACGAGGAACAGGCAAAGATACTTGATTTCGAGTAGGTCTATGACACTGGAACCAGTCATACTTTCCCAAGTGTTGGGGAATTCGTTTAGCATACATTTTATGAGCAAGGGTACATAAATGGGCTTGGCTGCGCTCACAGAGCGGAGATAAGGTGGTCCGAGCATATAATTGCCATTAATTGGGCACAGCTAAATAACTGGAGCAGTCCAAATATCCGTTTGAAAGTCTTTCTATGATTTGTTCCAAGTTTAGTGGACAAAGTTGAATTTAGACCACACCATGCAGTGTCGGCGTAGTCGAACAGAGGCAAAATGTAGCAACGGTACAAAAGGACTTTACAACTATCAGGGAGGTGGGAATAGTTGGAAGTGAGTGTTCCAAGCGCGGATCACACACATTATGTTATTCATTGCTATAACATTGTCACTTCTTTTATGTTTCTACACACTACAGCCAGTGACGGCATCCTCCCAGAACCATAATTATCTGGCCCATCTCTTGGGAAGAAGAAGGCGAATATGGTTCTAGTCTCCACCAGACGTGTAACTTTTCTGCTGCTGTGCCTGAGCATTATGCTCTGTGCTCATGCACAATTACCTGGTGGTGGACCACTTGAAGGTGAGATGCTATGGATATAATCCTAATTGCATAAGGAGGTAAAGCAAAGCGTAACACTGTATCCATTACAACTCAGACTGAGACTAGGATGTTACCCGTATGTATAGTTCTATTTCATAAGCCAACAACGAGGAAGTCACTTCAAGGACTCGCAAGACAGAACAACAACAAATGGGCAAGGCAGCACAGGTTGGCCTGCGTGCATGCAGAGTCCTAGTGACGTCTTGGTGACGTCAACACATAAGAGATGTACATGGATATCACATCCCTCCAACCCTAGATGAAACAAAGACTAAGTAAACAATAACAAAATTTAACAAATCACTTGTAGAAACAGTAACACAAGACATGGCGAAATATAGCTGTAAACACATAAATAAGACAGCAGATCTATCTCTGAGTAGATATGATAGAACTGTTACAAGTTCAAACGGACGGGCGCCTAAACAGCTCTAGTTGAGTGACTCATGAATAGCAGGAGTCGACCCAGCTGACTGCGACTCTGGAAGCGTGACTGATTCCGGTGCTGGAGGAACTGGTGAGGCAGATACGACTGTTGGCACAGAATCAACTGAAGGCTGTAGTTCGGTTGCGTCTGAATCCGGCACAGATGATGTCGACACTGGACGGTTCAGAGGTTGACGAGATGGAACAGCAGCTGGACATGCGGTCGTTGCCTGTTCTGGCGCAGCAACAGGTGGCTCCTCGGCCGGCAATCGTGGGCAGATGTGGTCACTGTGCCGTTTCCACAATCTGCTATTGGGTAGGCGCACAGTAAATGTGGTTGGGCCTTGACACTCTTCAAGAACTCCATCCATCCATTTAGGTGAGCCAGCAAAGTTGACACAGGATACAGGGACGCCACAGCAGAACGACGACGAGTGAGCCGGGCGGCGGTCTACGGCTGCTTGCTGTCGGCTGAAAACCTTCTTAGAAGAGTCCGGAAATGTGAGGTCAAGACGGGACCGAGGCTTATGATCCATCATGAGTTTAAATGGAGATTGACCAGTAGTTGATTGTGGCGTAAAGCGATACTGAAACAGGAACCAATACAGACGGGATTCCAAATCAAAACCACCAACAGACTTCTTCAGCGCATTCTTGACGGTTTGTACAACATGCTCAGCTAGACCGTTGCTTGCTGGGTGGTACGGAGATGAGCGGGTATGCTTGATACCATTAGCAGAACAGAATCGTTGAAATTCTTCGCTGGTAAATACTGAGCCATTGTCGGAAACAATTTGAAGTGGCAGTCCGTGCGCTGCAAATGTCTGACGGAGCTTGGCAATAGTGGAAGCCGAGGTTGCAGATGATACCGGGTGGACTTCAATAAAAAAATAACGGAACTGGTTCGGATGTGATGTGCAGAGCTATGGGAATGGGTGTGTCCACCCGAATTCTTTTCACAGATGAAGCTGCAGGAAGCCTCAGCCCTTCTTCAGACTTCAATAAACTTACTGAAACTGTCAACGATAACCAGGAGCATCTTCCCCTCAACTGGACTTGCGTAATCGACATGCAGACGCACCCATGGTTTACCTGGCCATTTCCAGGGATGTAGCGGCTGAAGGGCTGGTGACTTCTGAATGGATTGGCACGGTTGGCAGCTCTTGACCTTGAGCTCTATCTCGTCGTCAATAGATGGCCACCAGATGTAGCTGCGGGCGTGGGCTTTCATCCGGGTTATGCCCGAGTGACCTTCATGTAATTCTTCCAGGAGCGTCTCACGGCCTCTTGGGGGAATAATAACACGTGAGCCCAGCAAAAGACAGCCACTTATCACTTAAAGCTCATTACGGCGACGGGAATATGCTTGATAATCCACGGGGGTGTTGTCCGGCCAAACTTCTTGGACGTACTTGAGAACAAGTGACAGCACCGGATCTTTGCTTGTCCATTGAGCAATGGTGGTGGATGTGACCGGAGTGTTCTCTAGGACAGACATCGACAGAACGAATTCGGCCGGTGTTGGGACTTCTGGTACCGATGAGGGTGATGGTAGCCAACTGAGTACATCAGCATTACCATTGTTGCTGCCCGACTTGAACTGAAGCTGGTAGTCATAGCTTGCTAGTAGTAGGGCCCAGCATTGGATGCAACCACTGGCCATCGGCGGAATCGGACGATCTTCCTGAAATAGACCAAGTAGAGGCTTGTGGTCAGTCTGCAGCACAAACAAGCAGCCAAATAAATACTTATGAAAGCGTTTGACGGCGAACACCATAGCCAGGCCTTCTTTCTCGATCTGTGCATATTTCTGTTCCGCTGATGGCAATGTCCTCGATGCAAACACGACTGGATGCTCGTCTCCATCCGCAGTGATGTGTGAGAGAACGGCACCAATACCATACGGTGACGCATCACAACTGACGACAATTGGCAGCTTCGGGTCGCAATGCACACGGCATGGTGCTTCTAGTAGCATAGCTTTGCTTTCCTCAAAAGCAGACTGTTCACAGTCAGACTAACGCCACTGCTTCTTGGAAAGCAATTCGTACAGGGGTTTGAACACAGTACTTAAGTTCCGTACAAACTTGTGATAGTAGTTGATCAAGCCCAAATAGCTTCTGAGCTGCGATACGTTAGTTGGTGCCTTGGCGTCCAGCACATCTTGCATTTTCTCAGCTGTCGGCGTTATTCCGGTTGAATCAATGATGTGGCCGAGGAAAGTGACAGATGAACGGCCAAACACACATTTGTCCCGGTTCAAGCGCAGACCAGCCGATTCAAGACGCTCCAATACCATTTTGACATGGAGGTCGTGTTCCTCTAGTGTTGGAACACGACCTCTAACCTATAACCTCTCGTCACAAGCACCTTGGCGTTACACTTGATAGCAAATTGGACTGGTCCCACCATTTCCGGAATCTGGAAAAGCGGGCAAGCTCAGTCGTCGGTATTCTTTATGGCCATCTCCCCCACATTTCACCAGAATGCCGAAAGACCTTTTATCATACATACATTTTGCCTATTTTCTTGTATTGCTGTGTGGTGTGGTGTGGCGCTGGTAATGGCCTCTTTGCAAAGCTGGAGATTGTGCATCGACGGATTCTCCGGGCAATACTTCGTTTGCCGCCCGAGACCAACATAGCCGTTCTCTATGAAAATTGCTGTACATTTCCTCTGAAACATTACATTGACCAATCCTCCTGCGTATACATTCACAAAATCAAACTTATCACTGCCCCTCAGCATGTGCAGCATTCACTAAACTGGTTCAATGAATCCTCAACAAACCGAAACTCGCTTCGTTTCCCGATTGCAAGAAACAATTCTATGAGCAAATCGCCTGTTTTCCTAGCATACCAATTATGGGATTCTCTTCCTCAGCAATTAAAGTCCAGCAACACCCTCAATGCGTTTTTAAGCTTGATAAATATACACGTACGTGGATCTTCATTTACTAATCATTGATTTCAATTCTCTTTGTGTATTACTTCAAGCTCCAAAGAAAATCACATATGCTACCTGTACAATTCATTTGGGTTTTGGATTGATTTACTTTTATTTCATTTTTATTTTCATTTAACTTGCCATATTTTGCGTGTGCATTTTTGCCTTCTTGTTCTTTTATTCCATGGCTGGTAGCCCTCATTCATAATATTGGTTGACACCATGTCATCCATGAATTGAGAATAATAATAATAATAATAATAATAATAATGAAGGTACGTGTTGGGTCGTAAGTATCCACGCAAACACACATCCAGTCAAAATAAGGCACTTGTCAAAGTATCCGAACGTTTTCGGTCCCTTCTCATCAAGGATTATACAGGGAATGGCTCAAGTTGGAAAGACTAAAACTTATATAGCGTAAAGATATGAGATAACAACACTCGTGACAAGGTGGAAAATTATCAAGTTCAGCACGACACAAAACTCGAAGGAAATAATAATAGTGACAAGAACATAGTGAGCAAATTAAGTTACATTGTTAACACCTCGACGAGGAGTAACACCAAACAATTGTAGCGACAACACATTTTCTTTCTGTACGCAAAGTTCAGGATCTAACTTACGGATATACAAAGCTTCTAACACAGCCAGATGCAACGCACATCTACCACGTGACAATATTGAGAACACATTATCACTGTACAACTCACGACAATTGATCAATAGAAATCCGCAATGGAGGAGACGTAGCTGAAAGGATACTGGGCATCGCGCACACAACGGCTAGTGTCAGAAAACGTGGAAGGCCGCGGAAAAGCAAAGAGACGGATAGTGGTGATGCCGCGAAGAGGCGAGATGACGGGACATTGGAGGAGACAACACCCAACGGAGCTAAGAATCGCACTTCGTCCATCAAGCAACATCTGTCAGCCGGTACCAATTGTCGTGAGTTGTACAGGGATAATGTGTTCTCAATATTGTCACGTGGTAGATGTGCGTTGCATCTGGCTGTGTTAGAAGCTTTGTATATCCGTAAGTTAGATCCTGAACTTTGCGTACAGAAAGAAAATGTGTTGTCGCTACAATTGTTTGGTGTTACTCCTCGTCGAGGTGTTAACAATGTAACTTAATTTGCTCACTATGTTCTTGTCACTATTATTATTTCCTTCGAGTTTTGTGTCGTGCTGAACTTGATAATTTTCCTTCTTGTCACGAGTGTTGTTATCTCATATCTTTACGCTATATTATAAGTTTTAGTCTTTCCAACTTGAGCCATTCCCTGTATAATCCTTGATGAGAAGGGACCGAAAACGTTCGGATACTTTGACAAGTGCCTTATTTTGACTGGATGTGTGTTTGCGTGGATACTTACGACCCAACACGTACCTTCGTTATTAAAGTATTATCAGCCTCCGACTTCTTGTAAAATAATAATAATAATAATAATAATTTGGAAAGGATTGGGAGAACTTCATATTCAAAGGATCAGTCGGGGAAGTGAACTGCCTCAGCTCAGCCCATAGCTCAGTGGTTAGAGCATTGCTCATGACAAGCAGGGTCCCAGGTTCGAGTCCTGGTGGGTCTGGCGTTTTTTTCTCTTTTCAGGCAGTTCACTTCCCCGACTGATCCTTTGAATAATAATAATAATAATAATAATAATATTGACTGGTTTGAGGGAAAGAGACAAACGGGAAAAGTCTGAAGAAAAAATTGACTGTCACCACCAGGACTCGAACCAGGGACCCTCGCTTGTAGCCAGCGATGCTCTAACCACTGAGCTATGGTGTAGTCGTCATCCCAGCAGAGGCCGTTCAACATTTTCTTCAGACTTCGTAACTCACACTTCCTGTGAATCCACACAGGCGGGTGGGACGCAGCCCTCACTGTAACCCACACACTTCACGTACAAACTAGCACGCGGGGAGCCCCAAGTCATAAAATATTGACTGGTTTGAGGGAAAGAGACAAACGGGAAAAGTCTGAATAAAAAATTGACTGTCACCACCAGGACTCGAACCAGGGACCCTCGCTTGTAGCCAGCGATGCTCTAACCACTGAGCTATGGTGTAGTCGTCATCCCAGCAGAGGCCGTTCAACATTTTCTTCAGACTTCGTAACTCACACTTCCTGTGAATCCACACAGGCGGGTGGGACGCAGCCCTCACTGTAACCCACACACTTCACGTACAAACTGGCACGCGGGGAGCCCCAAGTCATAAAATATTGACTGGTTTGAGGGAAAGAGACAAACGGGAAAAGTCTGAAGAAAAAATTGACTGTCACCACCAGGACTCGAACCAGGGACCCTTGCTTGTAGCCAGCGATGCTCTAACCACTGAGCTATGGTGTAGTCGTCATCCCAGCAGAAGCCGTTCAACATTTTCTTCAGACTTCGTAACTCACACTTCCTGTGAATCCACACAGGCGGGTGGGACGCAGCCCTCACTGTAACCCACACACTTCACGTACAAACTAGCACGCGTGGAGCCCCAAGTCATAAAATATTGACTGGTTTGAGGGAAAGAGACAAACGGGAAAAGTCTGGAGAAAAAATTGACTGTCACCACCAGGACTCGAACCAGGGACCCTCGCTTGTAGCCAGCGATGCTCTAACCACTGAGCTATGGTGTAGTCGTCATCCCAGCAGAAGCCGTTCAACATTTTCTTCAGACTTCGTAACTCACACTTCCTGTGAATCCACACAGGCGGGTGGGACGCAGCCCTCACTGTAACCCACACACTTCACGTACAAACTAGCACGCGGGGAGCCCCAAGTCATAAAATATTGACTGGTTTGAGGGAAAGAGACAAACGGGAAAAGTCTGAATAAAAAATTGACTGTCACCACCAGGACTCGAACCAGGGACCCTCGCTTGTAGCCAGCGATGCTCTAACCACTGAGCTATGGTGTAGTCGTCATCCCAGCAGAGGCCGTTCAACATTTTCTTCAGACTTCGTAACTCACACTTCCTGTGAATCCACACAGGCGGGTGGGACGCAGCCCTCACTGTAACCCACACACTTCACGTACAAACTAGCACGCGGGGAGCCCCAAGTCATAAAATATTGACTGGTTTGAGGGAAAGAGACAAACGGGAAAAGTCTGAAGAAAAAATTGACTGTCACCACCAGGACTCGAACCAGGGACCCTCGCTTGTAGCCAGCGATGCTCTAACCACTGAGCTATGGTGTAGTCGTCATCCCAGCAGAGGCCGTTCAACATTTTCTTCAGACTTCGTAACTCACACTTCCTGTGAATAATAATAATAATAATAATAATAATAATAATATAATAGCTCGTCGATTATTTAATAATAATAATAATAATCTAGTAGGGCGCATTCACCCAGTTTCGGTGGAAGTGCGTGAGTTCGCTTGGGATTAAAGTAGGAAGGGAGCGTCTCAGCTTCCTCTGACCAAGACCATTCGACTCAGCACCCCGAAGACTACAACTGGTGAAAATTTGATTTTAGCCTTAACTTTCCCTTTAAATACACATAAGGCCAAACTAAAGAAGGTGTGTGGTTCGACTAACATGGACATTTTTTTTACGGGCGGGCGGGCGGATTTTTTTTTTTTAATATATTTTTTAGTACATGTAAATACACTGTATACGCGTATCGAGTAGACTCTACTACCAGCACAAGGCAGCAGTCGTACCACTCACTGCACTGCACTGCAGTACAACTACAAGTCAAGTCCAAAAGGAGCCGCCTGCGTCCGCAGACTCACGCCGCACAGCACGTAGACGTGGACGTGTTCAGTCCACGTACGTCAGTCACACGACAGCCCGCCGAAAAAAAGTTACGGTCGGGCTGAAATTGTACGGTCGGTCGGGTGAGTCGAACCACACACCTTCTTTAGTTTGGCCTAATTATCTTTTTTTCTTTTCAGGAGCTTACCTTTTGGAGTTCACATCGTTTACATGATCTCTCATGCTGTCTTGCACCTTGGCTTTATTGGCCATAGATAAGCCATCCCAGAAAACATTCTACAGGAGCTACTAATGCAGAGTGTTTTTCATGCTCGATCTCGGCGATCTACCTTGTCACGCCAATAACATCCTTCTTGACACTGGCTACAGTCACAAGAGGCTCAGTAAGGTAAATGAGCAGGACAACATCGTCGAGATCAAGGACAAAGAGAAAACAAGACACTCACTGAATACAGCAAAGAAGAAACGAAGACAAGTACAGGATTCCTATATGTTGCCACTGACAACTGGTTCGGTGGAGAGGACGCTACTTTTGTTTGTCCCCAGTGGGATCATTGCTATGCGTAACGAAAAAACTGTGATCTTGAACAAGAATAAAGTGAGACTGTGAAAAACCTATAAAAACCTATGGGCCCAGATTCGGCGATGCACTATAGTTGTTTTCCTCTGGCGAGTATCATGAACATGGATGTGGCTGACGCTCAGACCTGTGGCGTTTCATTGAATGAAAGGAAAGTGTGCTGATGCACTGAAAGTGCGCTTGAAACGGTACTGTTACCTGATGAGCACCTCGTAACTTAGCCTTTGTGTGTGAACTATGTTGTTTGGTGTTTTCTGCTAGAATACCATTTTCTTCACTCCAAGGTAACAGGTGTGACATGCAACACTACCGACCCGAATACGATACGATTTGTACACCTAGGTAATGGCGGCAGTAGTACACCCCGACTGGTTCCTTTTTACGATGCTTCTGATCCAACCCAAACTGAGTACCAGCGTTTGATTTCAAATTCAAGCAGCTTCTCCATCTACCAGCTTCACATTATCAATTATGACGGAGTGCGAGCAGTCTACGCGTGTGGGCCAGTAACATCACTTGCCACTAGTTGGTATACCATTCTGCGCACTGGTAAGTAAAAATGCACGAACGCCGAAAATAATAATGATTTGAATTTAATAGAATGAAGTTGAAGACACCACTGCAGCTGTACTTATGGTTGATAAATATGGTGGTAAAGACACACCTGGCAATATGGCGGTAAACACACGCTGTGTGTGGACAGGCGTGTGTTTACCGCCATATTTCCAGGTGTGTCTTTACCACCATATTTATCAACCATTGAATTAAAAAAAATCGACACAATCATCCGGCATGCTGGTGATGAAATAGTTGCTCAGAGATTTTTTAGTATGTGAGTATGTGGTGAAAAGGGATCCCTTGAAACTAAAGCTTAAAACAGATATGGATGCCAGCCGCATTTGCCAGTGGTGTCTGGATGATTGGAGATGCAGGTTTGAAGGATACATAAAAATGTGCTTGGAGATAAAAATAGATAGATGAAGCAAGTAGAGTCTCCGTGCTAAGTGGGAGCTTTTTACACAGCAAAACAGTATGGCTTACACAGTACACACAGTATGGCTTACACAGTACACACAGTATGGCTTAACGTATAATGTTCACTAGTTTAGTCTTACGAGTGCTGAGACTAAATGGTGACAGTCCGTGAAAGCTGGACGCTCCTTTGTGATATGCGTTTATTGCTAACCGAACTCGTACGCTTCCGCAAAAATAATTAATTGAATGAGTGCGCCATAGTAGAAAGGCATTTTCAGACCAAATTTTCTGAAAACACTAATTCATTCATAGATGCTTGGACAAAGATGAAATTCTCAGAAGTCTTCTGGATGCTGAATTGAATAGTCTTGGTTCGAGGATGCTGCTAGACATTGTTTGGCCCATATTCCATCGAACATAATCCCATAGTGATGCGTACAACATACGAAACACATGACCAAGACAATGAGACCACGGACGAATCACTCATCGCTCTCGCTCCTAGACCAAACTAGCACTATGCATGCACGACACTCACTTGACAATGACTCGCAAATAAACGGAAGCAGGTTCTCACTCTCTGACGACGTGTCTCCAGCATACACCACATATCATATGCGTCGCACATCACACCATGCTCATGCATACACCACAAAAATTGTGCTCCCTGTACCCTGTATCCTTTTCTTGCAGAGCCAATTGTGGGCATGAACACTGTTGCTGGTGCTAACACTGGACTGGGTAATCAGCCGGGCATACCACATGTTTTCAATGAAGGATCACCCATCCCACCAGTTGTCTGTTTTCCTAATACTGGACAGCCAAGAAGGAACACGGTAACACTCAACATAACTTATGATGATGGTCGCACAGAAACATTCCGACCACCCCCCGTTGCCAGAGGAGTAGATTTCCCAATCCGCAGTGCCCGGAATTCATCTGGGGTCTATGTGTGCTACGCCGCGAATGAAGCAAACACTGTCCCTATTGCTATCACATTCAATGTAACCGTATATTTCCGACCTGACTTCTCTAACACTGAGCGTGAACGTTCTGTTGTTGAGGGTACCAGGCTGTTCTTGACAGTCTATGTGTCCAGCCGTCCCGACCTGACTGGGTTTGACTTCATCAGTGCCAGTGGTGTCAGGTCCTCGTTGCTGTCCCAATATCAAGCTGCAGCACCCACTAACAATCTAATGACTGAGCGCAAGGTGACAGCTCTGGATGTAGCATCAGCGGATTCAACTCATAATGGCGTGTACGTGTGTGAAGCAACCAATCAAATTTCCGGTGGTCCAGGTTCAAGCTCAGTCAATATCACTGTCCGCATTATCAGTAAGTTTAATACTTTACTCTAATATTCACTCTAACATGGAGTGTCGTTGTGCGTATTTGATATTCCTGTTTCTCTCAATCCAAGCAAAACAGTGCTTTGCTCTTGTTTTTCAGTAGGTAAAAATAATTAGTCGTGGGAACAAATGTCCTTGGTCATTTTTGAATATTCACTGGTTGAGGGAATGCAAAAGGGAAAAATTTGAAGAAAAAATGACTGTCAACACCAGGGCTCGAACCATGGCTCGAACCAGGGCTCGAACCAGGGCTCGAACCAGGGACACCGCTTGAGGCCAGCGATGCTCTCGCCACTGAATACATGTACTCACATTAATTTCATTCCCGTAGCTATGCAGAAGACGTTGCTTCAGTAACGTCTGGCGTTAGCCAGGGTCTACACAGCTTAAATTTGGTGTTTGTTTGTTCCATCTGTCTGGCGCTATCTCGTACCTGTCCCGTACCAGCAAGAGTACCGTACCATTAAGAGAATGAGTATGTACGTGAAGTGTATCGGGGGAATGCATGCAGGCCGATAGTGCAGTGCATCGAGCATTCAAGAGTATCGTAGTGTAGACACGATACTCGTCAAGCGAGCTAAGACAGAGATCTTTGTCATCAAATCTGTCGAACCAGGCCTCAGTCAAACAGGCAGTTTACGAGTGTCAAGGTAGCGCGCCGCGTGTCAAGCATCGCATCCTAAGACAAATCTGCATGCACTGCCGATAGTGCAGTGCATCGAGCATTCAAGAGTCGCGTAGTGTAGACACGATACTGGTTAAGCGAGCTAAGACAGAGATCCTTGTCGTCAAATCTGTCGAATCAGGACTCAGTCAAACTGGCTGTTTACAAGTGTCCAGATAGCGCTTCTCGCGATCCCGTACCTATCCCGTACCGTACCATCAAGGACAGCATATGCGCATCGGCACGCCTGGCGCCATCTGGTACCTGTCCCGTTCCGTACCATCAAAGACAGCTGGCAATAGGGCTTTCAAATGCATGATCATAACGTGAAGCAACTCGGAAGAATGAGTATGTATGCGAAGTGTATCGGGTAACGCATGTAGGGCGATTGTGCGGGTTCGAATACCAGGTTATGCCTTAAAAAATAGAAGAATTGAATAATTTATAACATCCCTATGCTTTTTTGCCTATGTCATCAAGATAGTAGACGGTATCATATCACCCTCGATCGAATCTGTCCAGTACCGGACCGTACCATCAAAGACGGCTGGCCACAAACATCTGGCCACAATATTCAAATATGGCTCTCAAATGCAAGATCATAACGTGAAGCAACTTGGAAGAATTAGTATGTATGCGTAGTGTACCGGGGGATACATACAGGGCAATAGTACGGGTTCGAATCCCAGGTTATGTCTTGAACAAAAAGGAGAAATGAATTTACAATGCTTTTTTTGCCTGTGTCATCAAGGCAAAGAAGCATAGCGTAGGGCCCTGAGCTTCCAAGCTCTCTCGTTATCATCACACTATGTGTGCTGGGTGCTCTGTTTTCTATGTGGTCTGTTTGCAGGCCCTCCCGGTGCAGCACGTAACATCACCCTTCTCTCCCACGCCTCCACCTTCATTGAACTGTCCTATGTGCAACCGGCTGATAATGGAAATTCCTATATCACCGGCTACAGAGTGATGTGTAGCACTGATTTTGGTGATGCCAGTCGTGAAGGACATGTTGTGGCAGCTAATGTGTCCGACCTCACTGCCAACATAACAAGTCTGTATGCTGGAGAGACCTACACATGCACAGTTGAAGCTAGAAATGAAGCCGGCTTTGGATCATCAGCCTCATAGAGTGTACATCTTCTACAGGGTGGTAAGTTTCTCCCGTGTTTTGTCTATTATATCTGTATGGGTTACTCAATTCTGGACTGCTAGCTGTTCCACCTTGTTAGGTCTTTCCTCAGCAGAGCTCACAGCTGTTCCACCTTGTTAGGTCTCTCCTCAGCAGAGTTCACAGCTGTTCCACCTTGTTAGGTCTCTCCTTAGCAGAGCTCACAGCTGTTCCACCTTGTTAGGTGTCTCCTCAGCAAAGTTCACAGAAGCTACCTGAGCCGATCACAATGATGCCGTCTAGTGAACAACAAAGCTTCACCAACATCAAGGTCACTGTATATGAGTGCAGGGTCTTTCAAAACTGTGACCATTTCTCTACTAGTATTGTGATAAACAGGGGCCATCTGGAGCTTGCTAGTAGCTAGGCACTTTAACCTTGACCAGTGCATACACGGAGGGGGGAATTTGTCATATAGTTTCATGGTGTGGCCTGAATAGTGGTGGTGATCATGAGTAACACTGGTTCAGAAGATTGGACAAAATCAGCTAAATTGGTCCAATCTTTTCGTTCCTCGATCTTACAAGATAATAGTCACAATTCACGCTACATCTGTGAAGTTTTCGGCTCTAGTATTTACCCTTGTTTCTCTGCACATCATAAAGATAGCAATGCCTTCCAAAGATCAATCACATGCCACTCATATGACTAGAGTTGATAACTCGTGTTTTCCCTGTACAGCACCATGTAAACCAGAAGTAATGCAAAACGCCGTGCCAGGCATCCTGTCTCTACAAGTGTTCTTCCCTTGTGATGGCGGCAATGCGGCCACTTGCACTATAATCATAGCTCCAGTCGGTTTTTCAAGTGCTGTATCATGTGCAACTGGACAGAGAATCACTGTGAATGACACCACTGCTGTCGCTGGTATCACCTACACCTATACAATCACTATAGATAACGGCCTGGCATTATCCACAATATCCAGCACAGCCACAAGTAAGTGGTATTTAAAGCTACCTTGTCCTCTTGGGAGTATTGTGTCTTGCTCCCTTCGTAGGAGCTGGATATTTTCCTGCAGGCTTGAATTGACAGTTGACTTACAATTCCCCAAATATCGCCGAAGTCGCTACCGTCTTTTCCTTCTCACGAACATGTTTGCTGCTGTAGTTGAATTTTAAAGGACACATGGAGCATCATTATATGGGCCACGATCAGCTAAAATATGTCTTAGGGATTTCATAAAAAAAGTTGAGAAATGACGGAATGAAAAAAAAAAGTTTTGTCGAGCGAGTTCTAGCCGCGCTTCATTCATGAACCGTGGGGATCCTTTTTTCAAAATTTGTTCAAACACTTGTTTGGTGGTGTAGTTCAAATAGTTGGCGAGCAACGACTGGCAATGTTCGTATCTAGTGACACTAGAGCAGCTCGCATGGCCAGATGATCGCTGTGCATGATGCAGGTTTGGTCAGGTGTCAGCAAGTCCGTGGTGGTGGATCTGAAGAGCGACGATGACAATTTTTTGAGATCTGAGTGATGTTGATGTCGACAGCGAAGTTGAAGCGCCCTGTCGTCCCCTGTAGCCAAGAGGCACAAGTTGTGGGCGAGTACATTAGGCGACGAACTGCCTTACGACGTTATGTGCCGCTCAGCTCTCATGAGTTGTCTGACGCAGTCTCGGAAGCTCAAGTGACGATCAAAAGTGTCACTGCCAGAATCGAAAGAGTATGCAAGTGCAATGCTGCCCAGAGCATCGTGGTGCTTTCCAGGAAGAACTTGGTCCATGACTTGGAACTGATGTCGTTGACATGCTCAAGTCTGTGTCATCATCTCTAGTTCCTTTGTATTGTACTCCTCCACAAAAGCCACTAAGTTTGTCTGTGTGTCAGACTGTGCAAAAACTGTCATTTTCTATTTCAGAGTGCATATTTTGAAATACGTGTTTGGGGCACTTTTACACTACTCTGGTGCCCTGTACCACCTTCAAGAGGTCAAGTAAGGTCCCTAGAACTGTTTTCTGGAGGAAAACAAAATTTGAAAAAGTTTACTCTAAGATACGCTTTAGCTGGTTGTGGCCCAAATGCCTTTTCGGTAAGCTACCAGCACCGAGACATCTCAGGACTGATCCCTGCATTCGCAGAAACTCGAAAGAAGTTGCTACAAAGTGTCATTTATTTATTTTTATTTTTATTTATTACAGCATCTCATAGCACAGTGAGAACACCGGCCAATACAAAGAGAGAGGGTGTTAGCCAACCACGGCAAGGAAGGGAGAAGGGGAGGAGAAGAAAAAGGAACCGGCATGGATAAGCAGTGATTGCAACAAAATGAGAAACACAAAATCAAAGTCAAGGCGCGACAAGGCTCTTAAAAAGGCGGAGGGAAGAAAGGTCCTTAGCTTCTTGGGGAAGTGCCAGCCACGCAGAGTACGCAATGAAAAAGGGAGAGTGAAGTAGAAAGGAGGACTTAGGTTTCGGAAGGGAAAGGGAGTTTCTCGTGCTACGGGAAGACAACCTGTTGAAACAGTGGAGGTGAGGTGGACACAGATTGAGTTTGAGAGAATGGATAAGGGTGACAAGATGTGAATTACGTCTCTTAGACAAAGGGGTAGTGTCAGCAAGGGCATAAAGGGTGGAAGATGGAAGCATGCGGGGTTTTCAGAGGAGGATTTTGAGAACTTTTTTGTGGTGAATTTCGAGCTTGGCAGCACGGGTTGTGGAAATTCCAGCCCAAGCAGTACTGCATAATCAAAAATGGGGCGTAGGTAAGCTGAGTATACAAGAGATTGGGAGATGGTAACAGTGAGAAGAGAGAATTCTAAAGATGAACTTGATCGTTTACATATGTAATCGATGTGGGGTTCCCATGAAAGACTAGAGTCAATGAAAATGCCAAGATGCTTATGGCTGGAGACTATGTCTATAGGCTGGGGGAAAGTGGGATGGAGGAGGGGCGGAACATCGGGCTGAGAAGGAAAGAGCATGATTTTAGTTTTAGACAGACTGGGCGATCACCGCCAAGACGACATCCAGGAGATGAACTTGATCGTTTACATATGTAATCGATGTGGGGTTCCCATGAAAGATTAGAGTCAATGAAAATGCCAAGATGCTTATGGCTGGAGACTATGTCTATAGGCTGGGGGAAAGTGGGATGGAGGAAGGGCGGAACATCGGGCTGAGAAGGAAAGAGCATGATTTTAGTTTTAGACAGATTGGGCGATAACCGCCAAGACGACATCCAGGAAATTACTCTTTGAATCCCGTTAGCTAGGTTACTCATCAGGCCAGTGATGTTAGGAGATGCCCGTAGGAGCGTTGTGCCGTCTGCGAACAGTGATGGGCCCGGGGCAGCTGCGGGCAGATCATTGACGTATAAAATATAAAGAAGGGGGCCGAGGATGGAACCCTGGGGAACTCCGGATAGTACTGTTGTGTCGGCCGAGGACGTCCCATGTACCGTGACGTACTGCGTTCGCCCAGTTAGGTAAGATGTCAGCCATAGCAGGGGATTGCCGTCTACAGTAAATTATCCACGAAGCTTGGCCAAAAGCCCCCGGTGCCAGACGGTATCGAAGGCCTTGGCAAGATCGAAAAAACAGATCCCGACTAGATCTCCAGCATCCCGATGTCGACACACTAATTGCACCAGGCGCGTCAGCTGGAGGGTGGTAGAATCGCCTCTGCGAAATCCGGACTGAGCTGAACTCAAACGTGACGAGACATGACAGTACAATTGGTCGTAGAAAACGCGCTCACAGAGTTTGGAAACACAGGACAGTAGAGATATCGGACGGTAGTTTGATGCTTCGTCGCGGGACCCTTTCTTGTAGATCGGTATAACATTAGCTGTTTTCCATGCAGAGGGAAAACGACCAGTGCGGAATGATAGGTTGAAAATCAGACATAAGGGGTATGCTATTGAGGGCGCAAGGGACTTTAATACCAGATTAGTGATGCCGTCTGGGCCCGGCGCCTTGTCAGACGGGAGCTTTCGAATGTAACGTCGGATGGCAGCAGTCGTAGTGAAGACAGATGTGAGGCGGTCAACCTCACCCGACTCTTCAGCAATGGGGGGAATGGGTAGAGAAGCGTCATCAGGCACGGCCACTGAGGCGAACTGAGAGTTCAATGCAGTGTGGGGTTCCCATGAAAGACTAGAGTCAATGAAAATGCCAAGATGCTTATGGCTGGAGACTATGTCTATAGGCTGGGGGAAAGTGGGATGGAGGAGGGGCGGAACATCGGGCTGAGAAGGAAAGAGCATGATTTTAGTTTTAGACAGACTGGGCGATCACCGCCAAGACGACATCCAGGAGATGAACTTGATCGTTTACATATGTAATCGATGTGGGGTTCCCATGAAAGATTAGAGTCAATGAAAATGCCAAGATGCTTATGGCTGGAGACTATGTCTATAGGCTGGGGGAAAGTGGGATGGAGGAAGGGCGGAACATCGGGCTGAGAAGGAAAGAGCATGATTTTAGTTTTAGACAGATTGGGCGATAACCGCCAAGACGACATCCAGGAAATTACTCTTTGAATCCCGTTAGCTAGGTTACTCATCAGGCCAGTGATGTTAGGAGATGCCCGTAGGAGCGTTGTACCGTCTGCGAACAGTGATGGGCCCGGGGCAGCTGCGGGCAGCTGCTTTAGCTGAAGCTGAAGAGGTAGTAGCCTGCTGCGTAGAACTAATGGTGAGTGTCGGGATGTCACGAGATACTTTATGATTTTTTAATTTGTTCACGAACTGAAACAGTGATGGGCGGTTTTTGTCCTGCAGCGTAGCTTGTACGGACCGAATGTTTCCCCGGTATTTTGATCGAGTCAGACTCTTCACCAAGTTCCGTTGAGATCGATATACATGCATGTTAAGCTGGGTTGGGTATTTCTTACACACACTGTAGAAATCGTGCTTTGCCTAAATGGCGGCACGGAGGGGGGCATCAACCCAAGGTGGCTGACCTAAACGTCGGCATGAGGGGGAGAGTGGACGCCGGGAGATCCATGGCCCTGCTAAGAATAGAGTGGAAAGACGAAAGAGTGTCATCCACGTGCGAGCTGCGGAGGTGACATTTCCAGTGGACATCAGCAAGTTCAGCATTCAGGTCATCCCATACGCAACGTGGCACCAACTTGAAATTGTAACCTGGGGTGTAGGGGTAGATGTTGGGAGGAAGTGATGTTGTAGCGTTGGATTTTTGGACGTGACAGGGAGACAGACTCGACAGATGAGCTGCACGTGGTCAGAGCTACCCAGTGGAGCGGCTGAATCAACATCTCCCTTTTTATGTTTGAAGACAGAGGTAAAAACTCGAAGAATACTTAGTCATACACATACTGAGGAGATAGGGTAGAGACAGACAAATACTACATGCAGTTCACGATCATCAGAGTCAGCGACTGGAGTCCAAAGCAGATCTATATCGGCATGGTGTTGCTGCCAAAAGGCGATGGATCACACACTCAAGTCCCTCTCGGATTGGTATAGAGGGATATAGACCTATTACATCCATTGGTAACACTATTGGAGTGTTGGTCGCCGTGTCCAACGCTTCAAGCATGCGCTTAACTCTTTCTAACGCATACTGGGTGTTGTGGAGATGTGCCAGTACGAATGGAAGGAGCTGCTAGCGGAATCTACGATTACACTTCGGAGCTTCGGCTTCGAATGTGACACTGTGACTTTTAAAGTGATCCACCACCTCAAGCAAGGCAAGGGCGTAGCCAAGTGTTATGCGCGAAGGAGAATCGCGGATGTGAAGTGAAGGAACTGGCATCTCGCAGAGTGCCTGATTACAGTACAAATGTGTCTAGGATACACCATATGTACAGGTGCCCTTCAAGTCGGAGACATGAAGGGAGAAAAGGGTGACAGTCAATTAAAAATAACTAGCACAGGACACAGAACATAATACTGCGACACTATGGCGAGGCTGTGTCGAAATACTGAATGTCACAGTACTCCTCGAGACAGGAATGTGGACAAAGAAGTTTGTCCCTTACAAACCAGGGAACCAGGAAGGCCTTAGGTCTGGAACCTTTGTCTTGCTTACGGAGGCAAGGTCTAGTACAGCATGTACCTTCGGGAGTTGATGGCAGTTTAATACGGACAGACTACGAAGCTCCGAGATGAACGGGAGGCCTGAGTCAAAGCCAGCTGCACGGTAACGTGCCGCGTCAGACGTTTCCTAGGCAATTGGGATTGGGGCCCCTAGCCTGCAGAACCTGCAGAACATTGACGACACTCCATGTGCTGGCAGGCCAGCAGTAATGTATCCTCTGAAATATGATTGATATAGCAGTCGTTGGGGTATCACACGCTGCTACAACCGGCCGCAAGGAAACGTCCCGTTTATGAGTCTTTGGTAACCCATAAAACTCAGGTAGGCGTGCGTGCTGAGGCTTCGTTAGAGTAACTAATTCATCCTTGAGCCGAGTACGATCTAGGCGTTCGGCTTGTAGTGTCAGTTTCTCCAGCTCCTCTCCTGTTATCTCACTCCGCTCATAACATACTTGATCTTGCCTAATTCGGTCAATTTCGCTTTGTCGAACTGCTCGATGATGATTTAGCCTGCCTTTGTTCTTTCCTGTAACGATGCAATCACGGCCTTTTCATCTTCTGTCAGATTGTGGAAATGTGGAGGGTGATAGGTCCTATACAATTTCATAATATCTTGCTTCAGCCTTGCTAACCCTGCCTCCTGTTCCACGGACAAATCGTGTGGCTGATGCTGACACTTACCTTTGTAGTGCCGCTAGCTCCCATTTTGAAAAATTGAAGTGGACCCATTACCTACCGCAACCGGAAAATCATTGATTCAATGTTGGTCTCTAGCTTCTTCAACTCCATGGTTTTCTAGGACCCTTAGCGAGGACTTCCCTTTCCCCTCTAGATATTTCTACATTGATACTTGTAAATGGCTTCATATCGTCAGATACAAATTCGCCTGATGATTCGCCTGATGATGCAACAAGGTCATTGGATTCAGGCTCATGATCAACTGGTGTAGAAAACTGCTTATCAGTTTGTCGCACCCAGGCTTGTTCCTCCCTTAGGCCTTGAAACTTGCGTTGTAATCTACCCTTGCTAGCGTGGCGTACATGCCTAAGACTATACGAGTAGCGATGTTTCGGCACCAGACATAGTCAACTTTCGAATCACTCCGCATATCAGCCCGTTTAGTAGTACCGTAAAATCCCGCTAAAGCACCCCTACCTCCGCCGCCACCCTTCGAGAAGGTCCAGGTGGGGAGGGGAGGATGGGCGAGTCCTACTTACCGCATTCAGTACTACATGAAAAAGTACTCACCCTACGAAAATTGTTCATTTATCTCGTACACCGATCAAAGGTCAAGCGGCAGGAGTCGTACAGACCAATCGAAACTCAGGGTTTGTGCGATCCCTGGTCAAGAGGGTGGGCATTGTTGAGGATATTTCCAATGGGGTAGAGCACCCGTCTGCAGTACAGTACAGCATCACAGAGTTATACGAGGATACAATCAATCACTTCCCTGACAAAATGTCAGGGAGGGGGAGATGGGAGAGACGGGGCGCTCTGGCGGGATTTTACGGTAACTCTGCTGTAGTTCATCACAACAATCACAATTCTTTGCCCGTATAATTGCCGTCTTAGTCATTTTTGCTTTATTCCATATATGAGCCCATGAAGAGAAGGGAACAAAAACGTTCGGTTCTAAAATTTCCTAGTGTTCATTTGGACTGGTGTGGATTGCGCAGATGCAGGTAGTACATTGAAGAAATACTTGTTATTGTACTTAATTTAACTAGCCTATCATATTGACATCAAACTGGAGTTCAAGGAAATTAGAGGCCACATGCCACGTACTGCTCTTTTCTTTCCGAAACTCAACACTTGCAAGCCAGATATGAAAGAAAGAAAAAATCATTAGTCACACCACGGGGACTCGAACCAGGGACCTTGCTATTCGCGAGCAATGCTCTAACCAACTGAAACTTTGAAATTCTCTGTGAAGTCCAAATTTGAAATTGCAAAATTGGAGTTCAATAGTATATTGGCGTTTTGATTTGCCACCATTACTAGCATTAGTCTTTGCATGCCTTCTACTCTCTATGCAGAATACATAGAATCGAGCCTCCCAATTGGGTTGGCTGTTGCTTTATGTCTTTGATTTTAGCTAGACCGGTATGTCCAATAGTCTTACTAGCTTCGTCATCATCCAGTACTATTCGGCATTCTTTGTTCTCGTGGGATGTAGCTCATGCTCATCTTCATTGCGCTTTCCTTCCCCTCACATTTACTAACCTGAACCTTCCAAGTTGGAAGGCTAAAGGTTTGTGCTAAAGAGATGTGTTTGAACTACATTGTAGGTGTCTGGTCCGGCTGTCCATATATGTCTCAGTACACCCTGTGAGTCTTGTTATGGTTACTGTGCTGGATGGGTATTAAGCTTATTCATAACTCGTATAATTTGTGTCCTTCCTCTTGTCCCGGTGTAATTTAATTTCTCTTCATGCATTTTTTCTTCTTGAAAAACCTGAAAAACCTGTTTGCACATTATGTTGAAATGCTCTGTAGTTTCGACTGCACCAACTGGTTCGTCAGGGACATTGGAACATAGCACCGCTAACTCCTACCAAAGCATTTCAACAGGAACCAATGCATCATTGACTTCGTCATCAGGTAACAATATTATTTATATGCATGTACATGGCCATACTAGTGATGTAACGAGTAATACATTGATTATTCGAATTTCCTCGATCTCTTGGACCTCAACGAATAATCGATTGGATAAAATCTAGGTCGAAGGTTCAAAATTTCGAATATTCGAGGTCAGGCAAAGTCCGTGCGCTGCATACCATGTGCGACTCTAGGTCTCTCGTCTTGAATGCATAAACATTGTTCTGTGTTGCAGACAACGACTAGACTACGCGCGGTAGACAATGGTAGCCTCTATGTAGCGGTGTGACTGCGAGTGCTGCATCACAACTCTTACACGCCAGCTGACTGAGTGTCTGTTAGGCTAGGGCCTGTCAGCGCAATGTGTGCACGCAATGTGTGCGCGCAATCCATCTATAAAATAACCGCGTCTTTTTCTAAGAACAATGTCGAATCCAACAACACTGTTCTTCTGTGAGTGCTGAATGGCTACACTGGTAGCAGAGGATGGTTAAACCATGAGGACGATTCGGCTTCTGGCACTCCAACCACCTGACACGTCACGGTTCACCTGAAGAGTCTCAAGCTGGATAACCATGGTAACAAGGATCAGCAACGAAGCGAGGGGACCGAAGACGCGCTTGGCTCAGGAGAAGAGCAATGGAACGACGCGACGTACATCGACTGAAACGTGAGGGAACGGCTACTGACGATGTACGCTCAGGACATGACGAGAGCTCAGCGGATACTGAATGTGACGTCACGAGAAATGTGAGGAAACAGCTACCACGTGGTTCACAGGACGAGAGCTCAGCAGATACTGGATTTTGGGTCCTCCATAGGACTTAAATATATTTCGCACTTTCCGGATTTATTCATGGCAATGTTCAAGCCGCGCGAAACACAAGGTACGCACCACATGGAAAACAAAATGGAAAGCGCGGTTTCGGTTCGTGGTGCATGCAGTGGGCGCATGCAGCCAACGCGTCTCCAAAGCAACAAGGCATGCTGCAGTCATGGGGAAATCATGTACAGTGAACCCAACAGCACTGATTTTTACGTATAAAAATTACATGCAGTTCCTACTTTATTTTCATACGTAATTCGGCGAGCTAAACCTCCCTAGTGAAATTCTTGAGTCTTGAAGTTGGTGGTAGAGCTTGAACTTTGAGTTTTTCTTCCCCTAAATAGCTTTCTGTCTCCAAGAATGTTACCTTGCTGGTCTCTGCATTGTCCAGTAACAATCGAAATGCGTCGGCAGCGCATTGGAGGTGTAATGAAACCAGGAGCCAAGTCATTTAATGTGTTAGTAGTGTGATTAGTACCGTGTTAGTTTTGTGCCTAGTTGTTGTACATTCGAACAGCATCAACGTTATCTAGGTAAATTGGCGAACCGTTTTACTTTTATAACTCATACTCATTTGTCCTTCTCCTCTCCTTTTAATATTGAACTTCGTCTATCTGCAGGTGATTCACTGGCATCTCCAGAAGATACCAAAGTGAGTAATACTCCAGTAATAGCGCTTTCTGCGGCGTTGGGGCTGGCCATTTGTGTCATCATTTTCATGATGATCATAGTCATCAGAGCTACAAGACATCAATCTCAACATAGGTCTGCAGCTGTGAGAAAATATGTGATGAATCCATCTACTGCACAGCGCCCACGCCTGATACCGTCAGACGAGCTGGTGGCAAATGAAGCGTACGGAATCACTGCGGCTGTTCCTGAGCAACTCTATGCTGAGACATCTGAGAGCGGGAATGCAACAAATACCTCAGTAAACACAAATGAAGCCCCATCAAGGTCTGCAGCTGTGAGAAAAAATGAGGTAGATCCATCTACTGCACAGCACCCACGCCTGATACCGTCAGACGAGCTGGTGGCAAATGAAGCGTACGGAATCACTGCGGCTGTTCCTGAGCAACTCTATGCTGAGGCATCTTAGAACAGGAATGCAACAAATACCCCATCAGACATATTTGGAGCTCAATCAAGTCCATTGCAAACAGGAGCGGCAAAAAATCCATCTTACGCCTATTTGAACATGGTCCCTCTTGGCGGAGCTGAAGGAAGCCCTGGAGAGCATGATACGTCCACTGTTGCAACGGGTCACACATATGAGGCTCTCAATCAGAACAATGCTAGCAGTGGTGTCACCTCCCATGCATATGGCACTGTTGCAGATTTGTTGTAATATGGTGAGAAGAGAGAGAGAGAGGGAGAAATCGAGACACACATACACAAGTGGTGGATATGTATGTGAGTGAGTGGATGAGTAGGTACTCGTGTGTGTTTGTCCACGCCGGCATGCTAGTGTGTGTTTGGTGTGTGGGTGTGGGTTTGTACTGAAGTAGGTGCGGTTGTGGAGTGTGAGTGTGAATGTGTGTGGGTGTGGGTCTGCGTGTGGGTCTGCATGTGGCTTTGTGGGTGTGAATGTGTGTGGGTGTGGATCTGCGTGTGAGTTTGCATGTGACTTTGTGGGTGTGGAGGTTGTGATTGTGCGGCAGTTGGTGTATGCACTTATGCCAGATCGTGGCTAGATCTGTAGAGTTTATCCAATTATATCTTCAGTTGAGATGCTGTGGCAAAAAAGTCGCGGCGCAGCGATGCGCATCTAGCTCAAGCGAAACCGCCGACTCAGGCTGTTCACTCAGTGCCCATAAGCCGTTCCGCTGATTTACAACCATTGCGTCATTACCTCTAATGTGTAATCATTGATTTAAATGCTTGTTCTGTCACTGTATCTTTTGTGCAGCATCTATCTTTTCAGAACTTACTTTCCACACTGTTTTTCTTCTTTTCCCAACTACACATGTACAATGATAATTGTGCATACCGGTACACAAACACGAGATCCCCCCCCCCGGATTGGGTAATCCTGAAATAAAGATTATTGTTATTCATTCGCACAACCTCCATTGCCACCAGACTCGTTGGTTTGAGGTACATTGTACTCAAATGATATCCTCAGTACACTTATGGCGCGTAGCAGTGTCACAGTTTTGCACCTTTTCTCTCCGTGTGTTTTCTGTCTCTTAATACCTCTAAACACTGGATCGCGCTTCCTGTTCTTCATTTCATTCTGTGTATAAAACTGTGCTTCCAAATTAATTCCAGCCATTCATTGATATCCTCAGTACACTTATGGCGTGTAGCAGTGTCGTTTTGCACCTTTTCTCTCCGTGTGTTTTCTGTCTCTTAATACCTCGCTGGAAGCACTGGATCGCGCTTCTTGTTCTTCATTTCATTCTGCGTATAAAACTGTGCTTCCAAATTAATTCCAGCCATTCATTTTTTTAAATCTTCAGTGATGAGGCCTTAGTGGTCGAAACAGCGCTGCTTGGAGGAAATTACATGTTGTCAGTATCACAAATGAGAGTCCTCCGGCTCGGTAGAGTGCTCTATACTCATTCGGATAGAGCTATCTTACACACGACACAGAGCACCACGCATCATTTGTTGCAACTAATAGTTCCATGGCTATAGGCCCATCATTGTCTGATGATTGCCTATGGGCATGAAACTAGAATTAGTTGCAACGAATGATGCGTGATGCTCTGGGTCATGTGTGTTTGTCAGTATCTACAACTTGTGTTTGCTAGTATCTATATTACTACAACTTGCAATCATGTTGCTTTTGTGATGAGGGCGGTCAGAGAGTGCATGTGGTTGGGTGGAATTGCTTCCTTGGTTTAAAGTCCATGCCAGTAATTAGTGTTGTACAGTCGTCCCTCTCTAATCCGGCACCTTTTGCAACGGCATTTTCTGCTGGATAAACAAGCGTGCTGGATTATCAAATCATGTCCTCCAACCCGGCCCACCTACTAACATACATGTTTGTGTTGTACGTCAAAACGCAAGGATTTTTCGTGTCAATCCAAGTACTTTGTGGAGTGCATGTCTGTCTATACAGTGCATAGGATATTCCCAAGTGTATGTTACATGTGTAGAATGCTCCCTGATAAGTAGTTCACGCACTGACCAAACTGACATAGCTGTGCTCCGGTACGGTATGCGATGTACAACTGCTGGATTAGAAAACCGAATTATGTGCAGTTTGAGTGATTTGTTGCGGAAAATCGCAGCTGGAGGCGGAATTTAAGTGCCGGATTAAAGCGTAGAAAATGAACTGAATTTTGCCAGAAAGTGTGCTGGTTTGCAAGGGTGCTGGATAAACAAGTGAAGGAATAGAGAGGGACGACTGTATACTAAGTCCTCAGATGGAGAGCCAAGGAAAATATTAAAATAATGGAAACAAGGAAAACGGTGGGGCACAAGTTCTGCGTTAGAGTCCACCAACTAATCCAGGTTTTGACCAGTCAGCACAAGGTAGGACCAGACTGACTAGGAGTACTGAGATATTCCACAGCAAGGAAGTGAGCTTGAGCACTTCTCCATAGCGCTAAACCAACGGCCTTTCAACTTACTTGGAATGTTCATGGATATTAGTGAAAATTCCAAAGAGGGGAATTTCTTATCCTTGATAAAATTGAGCCTCCCAGGTTGAGTGGTTGTTGCTTTGTTTTGAATTGTGGTTAGACTGTGTTGTCCCAAGGTCTTACAGTCCCGTTATCGTACCAAGCCAGCATTCCACTGTGCCTTGGAATGTAGCTTGTGTTCGGCTTGAAGGCGCTTGTCGTCCGATACCTTGGGCACGTCTGACTGTTCAAAATCTGGTTTAGTTGGTGGACTCTAAGGCATATCTTGTGCCCCACCGGTTTCCTTGTTGTACAATAAGTTTCCTATTTTAAATATAGATGTGTATGAATGTGTATGAAGCTTGAAATAACATACTTGCAACACTCAAAATCCTCACCGAAGAGTCTGAAACTGGCATTAGCCCAGAGTAAATATATTCTTTCATGTCCTTATGCATGTATTTTCATCCAGGTCCAGCGTCCAAAACTTAGTTCTTTTTAAAACTAGAGCTCATTTACTGGATGTCGTGCTCCTTGTTGCTCGCTATTTGGAACCCGCCAGTGAGTGCTCGTTTTAGTGCCCCACGTCTAGTCAAGCTGGTGGGTATATTGAGGTGCCTAGCAGCACTTTGAATTCCGGTTTAAGAAGAGATTGTGAAAGGGATGAGATTGTTCTAGGTGTGGTCCCATGCTTTAGTTTAGGTTTGGGGTTGTATGTTGTGCTAAATTCCAGTAGTGGGGCCAATCTGTGCATATGGATTATGTGGTCTGCGAGACTTCGCTATCCACTAATCAATATTACTCTCTGGATCTCGTGTGAGGTTCAAATAGGGTTTGTATCACTGTTGTTGGCGAACCCACTCGTCTCTGGCGCCCCCCACCTTTTAACGTCGTCAAAACGCAGCCCAACCTATGAGTGAGTTATGAACCTTTCTACTAGTACTTGCTTGTTATGATTATTGTTCTCTTTTTTCTTTTTCCCTTCTGGTTTAATTATAACACGTATTTATATTATTTGGTGCAATACTAGCGCCCCTTTCTCGCACCAAATTAATATTTTTGCTACTTGACCATGCAACCCCCCTTTTTTCGATGCCAGGTTGCAACGCTAACGCCGAGACCCCTGGTCGGTCGAGTTGCTCCCTGTACATCGGCACGTCGTCCCTACATCCCCTGTGTCTTGTTTTGTGTTTGTCTCCACATGTCTCTTTGTAGGGCTGTGTTTCCGATAAAAAAATAAAAAATAAAGGAAAATGAAGCAGGAAAGAGCATGGACAATAACGGTACGGGGCACACAAGGTAGCTCTGCCAGAGAGGCTCACCCAAGCTCACCCAACAATTCGGCCGTCTCGACTTCATCTCCCACACATTATTGGATCAGAGTTCACTAGTTGGTGGAGACGCTCCACACCACACCACAGACTCCATTGGTCGAGCGCTCCTCCTTTTTTATTTTTAGGAATGAACTCCTTGAGCCTCTTGTACGGGCAAAATAATACATTTGTGAAGCATCAACACAATTACATAAAATTAAAACGAATCATCGGATAATAAACATTACTATAATAATAATATAATTATGGTAATGTTTGCACAGACTCAGTAGAATCACTGCAGGTTCACTGGATGCGTGCCCCAGCCACCACTAGCGCTGCAGGGGACTCAGGCACGGCAGGAGCAACATGCTCCTTGAGCCACGCAGGCACATGGCAAAACTACGAACCACGGCAAACCCAAAGTGGCAGCGCAGAAAGGAGAATCTGAATGAATCTGAAGGAGAATCTGATAATCTGTGGGTATGGCTCCTTGCTCTTCTCAACCAGCGTTCCTGCCAGCGTTCCTGCTTTAGACACTTCTGTGGCTGTCGCTCCCCTAATATTACTAAACCTTGACTGAGGACTGTGGTTCCCATAGCCCACTGGCACAGCAGCTACCATCGCCACTGATCACATACCATTCAACAGTAGTTTCTAGCCAGAGCAGCTTCTTCTCATCCTGCAGCCAGCAATTAAATTTTACAGTTTTGTTCAGTGCACTTGCACTCTACGTGTACAAATCCATCCAGTGACAGTAGGGTGACATGTGGAAGCTAAGGGTGAACACACAAACATCAACCATTGTCATAGAACAGAGAGGTTCCAGGCTGTCAAAGGGAGTGCTCAATACTGAGAGGCAGAGCTAGTTCAAACAATAAGAGGACGGAAAAGTGTTTTAACTCTGAGTTTCACGCACTAAGCGATCATCAGAAAACAGTAACCAATTATGTAGTCTATTATCATTCCCTTAGTAGGGACTCACTTAGATGTTTCCTCGGCGAGAGGCAGAGCTAAATCATTGTTTGAACAAACAATGTTACATCGTCATTATTGTGACAAGCAGGCCATGCTGTGATCTCAGATCATGCACTCTGCTATAATTACTCTGCGTGAGGGACAACAATACGAACTTTAATAGAAGTTGCGACTTCGCAATTCGGCAGTCATGAAGTTGATCGTTCCAAACAGGAACACACGCTCCTTGCCGAACTTGACACCTGACGCGGACATGCGACTAGTTGTTGGAGGTGACTGCGTTGGCTCTCGACGTCTGTTCAGCACAACTCCATGAGCGACTCCAACTCACGCTGCTATCTGGGGCTTCACGAGGTGTTTGTCGCGCTGGAAACAAAGCGTCTCTGTAAGTTTGTATCCCTGGTGATGGTTTGGCCTGGAGAGCAATATAAAAGTGGTGCGTTTCACTTTCAGGCACAATCTTCCTAAGCCTACTCAAGCTCAACTGATGAGGGGTCAATTCCCCGAAACACTGTGTATTGAGCAGGGAGTGGTGCTTTCTTGCAGGTTTGTCGAGTGGAAGGTGCGACGTGCTCCTCGTGTGCTCCGGATGGCAGTCGTGAGTCAGTCAAGTGTCAAGTTCGGCAATAAGCGTGTGCAAAAAAATGCTGCACTTTACCTGAGAAGTACTCAGGGCTAGATTTCGTTTTGCTTTTGCCCCTATGTGTACTGTTGAGTGGCATAGGTCAGTACATTATTTTTATATAAGGCCAAAACAAAAAATAGGCTTGTTTCCGGTCGGCAACCCCTCAAAAAGGAGACTCGGTCGGCCGGAATGAAACTTTTTTTGGATACTTTTTTTGGTTCCTCAATCATTGTGGCATTGATGGACAAGAGCACCTACACATGTACATTGTACATTATATCATGGCAAGGATCAATGTCAAAGTTGACTGACTCACTGTTCTTGTACAGCATGTGGTGTATTCCTGTTTTCGTACATCCTGAGAAATCAAGCAAACAGTTCGAGTCCTTCCAGCTCCGTTATTCTAGCTCGTATCGACCCCGGAGGTTTTCGAGCCGACAGCTGAGAATCTCTGCTACCTTGTAGGTGTTTCGATTGTGGAATTCGGTTGAGATTTGACTGAGTTATGACTCTTTTAATGCACTTGCACACATGGCATTGCCACCGTTTGCATACATTTGGGACCAAAAAAAAGTTTCAGAATTTGGGAAAAAGTGGCCCGGTCGGGCGACCGGAAACAAGGTCATTATTTGTTTTGGCCTAACCCAATACTAATAGTACAATACTAGTACTAGATAAACCTTGTTATAGTTTCATGCCGTCAAACTAACAACAGGTCCGCAGTGCATGTACTGTACACTGTATCAATTGTCTGATGATTGCTGTGTGGCATGACACTAGTGGTAGTTACAGCGAATACCGATATGAACGTCCTCTGCTGAGTCTGCTATGTTCTAAGCTCTGTGTATGATGTAGTATTTGAGCACTCTCAGCACTGTAGTATTTGAGCACTCTCTGCACTAGACCATGTAGACTGCACGTCGAGGACCAACGGATTTGGGTTCATATAGATCTATAGTATAAGTGTGTCTTTTAATCACTCCTTTAGTATTATCTCGCTTAGATTTTTGCTACGCTTA